ATTTCACTAGTTCGTTATTCGACAAAGAAAATAAGCAGACATCATTATTATTATTATTATTATTATTTCGCTTACTAACAACCTGGTATTGGTTGGCAGGAAAATATTTGGAATCAGGTCTTAAGAAAATAAATCGACCCTTTCTTCTGTGGTTGTATCTAATTTTTTCCGAACTATGTTCCGATCAGGCCAGCCTTTTTCGCAATGATTCATTTTCCAGATCACAAACCAGGATCTGCGAGTGGTGCAATGGGTAGCGGCTCTGAATAGAAAATCGGAAAGCCACGTTCGAATTCTAGTCAGGTTCGTTACATTCTCTTATGTCCATTGATTGATTTTATTTTATCATGTCTCCATTTCTTATATACATTCTAAGCCATACACTTGCAATCTGATACAATATAACTGACAGTTTTCTTCTGTCTCCATATATTCTGCAGTGCTGACTTTATCAACATTCACCTTTACACGGTTTATCCACAACGTCTGATCCTTAGCTGCCATTGATATTACTCCAGTCTCCTTCTTCAAATACATTTTTTTATGATCCTTGTACTCATTGACCACTGTTTTTTTTTATCTCCACTGTTGTTCTTTCGAAAACTGAATGAATTATTATTGCTATCGTTCATGCTTTTTGCTTGTTCGTACTAAATATAGATTGCTTGAGAGTAAGTTTGTTTAAATCACGAACACCTTTTTTTCTCGCTAACCTCAATGAACCTAACAAAGCCTTGGTCAACACATTGTCAACCTTTGTACGGTTTCCAACTCATACAACCTGCTACATTAGGTTAAGTCCCCGAATAAAGCAAATAACAAACTTCACATTTTAATGGCGTTGTTTTCAAAAGACCGCCACAAACAGAAAAATCCCCAAATTAGCACCGTTTGTTCCCGAAATTTACGTGTAGAAAACTTCAAAATTATTACTCCTCGATTTTGAAAGTAATCCCTAGATTTCCTTCTGTTGTACCTAAGGAAGATTACTGAATAGTATAGTCAAACGAAGGTTGGTAATGAACGAGAATACTTACAACACATAGAAGATTCGCCAGCGGCGCGTGGAAGTATTTAACTGCTAGAAGTGAGTCATGTGAATTCCACAATGAATCACCAAATGCATGTTATCTACCAAATTCCCACGCGGTCTGATGTGGCACAAGGCCGAATTTAATGTGGGATATCCGAGCCCGTAGGCTCGACAAAAATTCCCCGTAGCTGTTTCCCGAGACGAGACTCTACCCTTCGACATAACCTCGTCTGAGGATCCTCTCTGTCCGGAGACAGAGAGTTTGACCAGCACAGCTGGAGACGAATCTTTAACACCATACCAACATACAGTATTTACTACTGTATTTATATGAATGGTGACATACCCATTATCATTGTATGCTACAACACCTAAATAGTAATATTCAGAATTTAGTAGACCAATACATTCGAAATGTAGTCTTTTAGCGTCGCAAGATTTCGGCTTTTGGAATTAGTCACTCTGAAAGTCGCATGTAGAAAAATTCGAAATTTAATGCCGACTGCCGTTCCTGAATTTCCTAAAAGTAAAATAAAAACATTAATATATGTTTATATCTCTGAAATGAGGTATTATGATTACTTGAATTATGTACATTATTTGGACTATTACCCTTATCTTCATTGACATATTCACAACGTTTCAGCCGTTTTACGCTCCGGCCTTCTTCAGATGATTAGGATTTCGAACCCAGTGTATAAAGACGTTGGTTAGATCCAGCGACTAGACTTAAAAAGTTGTGAGTTAAATACCAGGCCACAGAAGTAATGAAACCAAATCTTGGAGAGTAGCGTTAAAGGGAAATAACTGACACATTCGGAAGAGGCATGGCACGTGGAACTAGAACAATCTACACCGGTCGACGAAATAAAGGGTTCGATTCGAAATTCCAATCATCGCATAACTAAATACCCCCAGATGCGAAACCAGTCAAGGCATAGCCTAAAATCCGGATAATCATAACAAATGATAGCATAGTCTACCGACTCAAGAAGCGAAAGCGATTAAGCAGATGATCGCATAACCAAATATATAAAGATACGGAGCCAAGCTAGACATAGACTAACATCTCCAGATGCGAAACAAATCATCGAATAGCCAAACATTTCGAAATTCGAAACATATCATGGCATAGCTATGCGATAGAAATCATGACATAACCTAACATCTCCACATGCAAAGCAGATCTTTGCATTATTCCGTCTGTTATTCTCATCTTCATTGCCATTTTCACAACGTTTCAGCCGTTGTACGCTCCGAGCTTCTTCCAAAGTGTTGTCAGTTCAATACCAGGCCACGGCGGTGGTGAGCTTAAAACTTGGAGAGTTTAGCTAAAGAGAAATAACTGAGGCATCTGGAGAAGACATGGCACGTGGAACTAGAACAGTCTACCCCTGTGGACAAAATAAAGGGTTCGGTTCGAAATTCCACTCACTTGAAGAAGACCGAAGCGTACAACGGCAATATTGTGAATATGGCAATGAAGATGAGGATAATAGTCCAAATAATGTACACAATTATAATTAATTGACAAGTAATTATAATACCTCATCTACAAAAAATAAAAAATTAGTAACTTTGGGCTTTCCAAAAAAAAAAAAAGATTGCAAGTACCAAAACTCCAAATTTATTACAGTTCTGCTTTCGAAAGCTATAACCCCAAACATATATTAAAATGAAAAATTTGGTCAGGCTTCACTTTTAAAGCAATTCAGAAAGTAGGAAGTAACAAGTAAAAAAATTAAATCCTTTCCTAACAAATGAGCTTTCAAATGTAATTGCCCTAAAATGACAAGGATCAATATTCATTATTTCGTACCATTGGGGTTTCAAATATAGATACTGAATGTCTCAAAATTCATAATTTACTCTCAATGCGTTTCAAAAATTGTCAGCCAATGTTGCAAGTTGAATTTTCAGTAGAGTTCGCCTTTCAAAAGTAGTCCTCTAAATGGCAAGTCGCAAAATTCCATTTTTTTAGAGTTGTGACTTCATAAATAACTCAGTTTCATAAATCTGCTGCTCTGCTTCGCATATTCTTCACATCTTTTGAATATGTTGTCGATACACAACATCATTTTAGCCTACTTTATCGCTCAAATCCTCTGATACGAAACAACGAGAGCACATATTGAGGATCTAAGCATTTGAATCAGTCTATCAAACGAGTTTGGTAAGCTTGCCTCGAGCCATATTTGGTATCCTAAATAATTATTGATGTAACTTAGTGGGAAACAGAGTCGCAGTAACTGGACCCCCATTAATGATCGAACTCACTTCTTTTATGTGTGACATGCCTCTAGGATATAGACGATCATAGCTCTCCACAACTTCCTATCTTTTGTCCTTAGCAGTTTTTCTTCCTTTGGTAAGGATCCCGCCATTTATTTAAACAAGCTCGTCAGGTAAGTAGCCCGCTATATTCTCCAATCTTTCCTGTCCACAATATTATCCGTGAGGGTTAAGTTTTTCAAGCCGTCAGTCAGTCAGTTATATGCCATGTGTGATGCATTCGTCAGTCATCTATCTTTCGATACATGACTGACGAGGCAGATTTTCTTCCCGCATTAGGTTACAATTTCTTTCTGCGGTAGACCTGTTGCCATCCAACATTGAGGGTCTGTCCTGCTATTTACTGGTTGGGAGAAGATGATTCATACTTTTCCCAAGGGTATTAGCACGTAAGTGAATGTAATGGATTCGACTGGAATTCGAACTCGGCTCTCCGATTCCTCAATCCGACCCGCTATCTATTACTCTATCGTAAGCCGTAGTTCCTCATTAGGTGTCCAAGCAATTTCAGCTGTCTTTTCCTGATTCTATGTATGTGTGTTCTTTTTGTTGCCATTAAGAGTTACTTGTTGCTTAAACATACCACCGATAGAATTCTCAGTATCCTTCTGTAGAACCTCCAGTTTTCTTCTCATCCGTGCCATATAAGCGAATGGATATCACATAGCAATCCAGCACATTTTTTTTTTGTTTCCGTTTCTCAGTATGTTGCTTAGCTTTTGGAATATTACTTTTGCTAGTCCAGTGCGTGTTCGGATCTTGGTGTAGCGATTTGCCTTTGAGACTAGTTGTTAATGATGTCGCTTTGCTAGGCACCCAGCAACTGTTTTTATAATTGAGCCAAACCAGACTGGTAAGATGACATTTTTCGCTGAAGAAGCAAAAAAAAAAAAAAAAAAAATGAGAGTTGCTTTCTCAGAAGAGTAAATAATTTGAGGTCAGCACTTTTTTGCTTAAACAGATTACGAAACATCCGGGCCTTTCTTTTTTTTTTTTTTTATCAAAATGTGGACTTGTCAAAATATGCGTTATACGACACTGCCCCTCAGAAGGAGAAAAAAAACAACAGAATATTGAACATCTGTTTTTGACATCAGGAATGCCAGAAATGTAATTCTTCCTAGTGAACCCACCCAACTCCCCCCTCTCTCTCTTTATTTATATATATATATATATATATATATATATATATATATATATATGTACACACACACACACATATATATATATATATATACATACACACACACATATATATATATATATATATATATATATATATACATACACACACACACACATATATATATATATACTCGCGTATTATGCGATGTTTCAAAAACTAATTTTGAAGACAATTTTAAGGGGGTCGCATCATACACGAGATATAAAATTAGCGTATGTACTGCTGGTCCTGGCGACGCAGCTGACCAAACTATATATCCATTTACTGTAGTTAAATTAGCTTCAAAATTGGGTCTTCAAAGGTTGCATGATACGCAAGTATATATATATATATATATATATATATATATATATATTATTTTCACATAACTATATACCGAAGTCTGTTCAGCTGGCTCTATCGAAATTGTTATTACCTACCTATATATCAGAATCTATTGCAATCTGTTCAAATTTCTCTCAATATGCTATACCTATTGTCAGTTTTGACATGGGCCTTTCTGTCTATCTATCTATCTATCTATCTATCTATCTGTCTGTCTGTCTGAGCCAGTTCATTATCTATCTCTATCTCTCTCTCTCTCTCTCTATATATATATATATATATATATATATATATATATATATTACGGTTATATCACATTGAAACACCGCTTCTCCTACGATAACTGAAGTTAAGCAACGTGGTGTCAGGTCAGTATCTAAGATGTGTGAACTCTTTTGAATACCAGGTGCTTTAAGCTTGGATGTGCGGCTGGTGTAATGGATAACTGCTCGAAATTAAAAATCGGAAAGTGAGTTCCAATTCCATTCGGATTTGTTTTATTCCCTTACGCGTACATACCCTTGGGAAATGTATAAATCGACCTCTTCTCCCCACAGTTATGGGTTAAATAATAGAACTTGTAAAAGTAAGATCATTACTTTCTCCCAAATATTATTAAAATATAAAAATATTTTCTGGCTTTAAATAACCTGCAAAAAGTTGATAAGCCATAAAAAGAAAAATCAATTCTTTCTTCCTTCCTTCCTTCCTTTCTTTCTTTTTTTCTTTCCTTCTTTCTTTCTCGGCCAGTTCATATCTATCTATCTATCTCAGTCTGTTCATATCTATCTATCTATCTATCTTTTATGGAGTGGTTTCACAATGGAGGCTTGTATGTGTACTAAGTCGGTCCTAAAACAGGTTCGACGTAGAAAACGTTAGGAATATATAATAGGTAATGACGCAGAGAAATCTAGTTGTGGTCGCTGATACTTTAGTATCCGACTAACGGTCGTCCGGCATCGACTGACTGCGCGACTCACTGAGCGACTGCCTCGTTACTATTACTACTACTACTTATTATAGGTGGGAGAGTCTATTAGTTATAGAATAGGTGTGTTCCACTATAACACTATCTCTCATATTTGTCTACCTTCTGCAGACAGGCTGCAGGCAGGCTGCAGGCAGGGTTCACTCTGTTGTTCCAATTGGCTTTCTACTGCTGAAATGGTCACAATATTCTGATTCAGTTCAACGTTGCCTGATTTTTATAATTTTTTAATTTTTATAATATTGCTCAACCAATACAAGGCCCAAGAGTCACTCAGGTTATAGTGTTACTGAATTCAGTTATAATATATATATATACTGTGAAGATATGCAGGATAGATTAATGTTGACCCCAGACTTGAAGACGTTGAGATTGTAGTGGTCAGAGGAGCATCTACTCAGGAGCCTGTTCTACAAAGTCAATAGTTCTGGGGAAGAACCTGTTTGAGTGGATCTTCACCCTAAGGGACTCTGAATGGTGTGAGCATGAAATGTCCTAGCTGTTGTCAGCATCGAAACACTACCGAGTCATCACTTACATATTTATAAGGATTAATTTTTAATTAGAAATAGTTCTCGCAGCATACTAAGACTCTTATTGGTAAAGGCATATATTTAATATGTAAAAAAAATGTTTCCCTTCTAGACTCTGTCAAAATAATGTCGGCTGTGGAGCGTATGTCGTTTCCGGAGCTTTTCTTCAATGAATCATTGGATCTTCTTGCAAGAATATCAGTAAACCTGTTTCCCCACTCGTTGGTCGGACGAACCGACTGACATCATTTGAGATCCGATTCAACACTTGGTGGCTATGAGGACACTTTCTCTTAAATCAAAGATTCCTGATGGACATTAAATTCGAGTCATGCCTCTGGCCTCTTCTGGCATAAATTACATACTAAAGTTTGTTTTGCTCAGAAGTCAGCTTTCGAAATCTTTTTTTTTTTTACCTTGTCTCACATGCCATCTTCTAAAACTAAGAGTAAAAGTACAGCTGTTAGCCTAGATCAATACGGTACAAACAAAATTGGGAAAAGTAAGAGAAGATTCTATTGCGCAACGTTACAAAGAAGGAAAGTCTACAAATACTCTATTTATTGCCACATTCACAACGTTTCGGCCGTTGTACGCTCTGGCCTTCTTCAGGTGGTTGGAATTTCGAACCGAACCCATATGCTAGGCCACAAAACTCTCCTGAGTCGACCAAGCATAGAAATGAATACAATATGGGAACCAGTAAAAAGGAGTGCTAGAGAAAAGCAATGAATAACAACAAAAATGGCAATATAAGCTCTGGTGAAAAAATGCTATAATAATGACGGAAAAATTGCAATATGACCACTGGTAAAAAATGCTTGCTGGGACATGAGGTTTATAAGTCCCAAAACTTCATACACAGATATCCTCAAGGACACATGGCCCAGTGGCTCGACCCAAAGAATTGTGCGTTCAATACCAGGTCACAGCAGTGGTGAATCAAGAACTTAGAGAGTTGAGTTAAAGGGAAATAACTGAGACATCCGGAAGAGGCATGGCACGTGGAACTAGAACAACCTACCCCGGTGGACGAAATAAAGAGTTCGGTTCGAAATTTTAATCACCTGAAGAAGGCGGAGCGTACAACGACCGAAATGTTGTTAATATGGTAATGAAGATGAGGATAATAGTCCGAATAATTGAGCAACGGCCTTTGGCGCAGTTATAAAATACGCAACTATCTCAGTTATGTTGTAGGTGTATCTTTGATAAAAACTTATTATTCAGTTTCATTTTTTTTTTTTTTTTGTTCTTTTTCATTGATAAACTAAATATCTGATTCCTTTAGAAAATGACGTCCTTCCAATCTATCTGGTCGAATACAAGACAGTAAACCGACCACTGAATTCGATATTGGATAAGAGACTACTACACTGATACAAATCTGGATTTACAGACAAGATGTTGACCATAAAAAGCTAAAAAAAAAAAAGAAAAGAAAGAAAGACGCTGCCGGAAGCATGTCACTGATAGTTTAACGCATTGTAATTGGTCAGCGTATCCAATCACGTACTTATATTTCGACACACTCGAGTAGAAACAGATGTGCTTACTATATAGCCATAGTGTGTTTGGTGTGAGGTCTTGGAAAATAAACTGTTTGTTATGAGAAGCTGACAAATGACAAGTTGTCGATAGAAATACCAAAAAAAAGCGGAGGAAATTGGAGCTAATTTTTGGAAAATATCTAAATGTTGGATCTCAAACGAAAACTAATCCATCAAGACTGTTTATCTGAATGGATTGGTCTTCCTTATATCAGCGGCTCAAAACGACTCAGTGCCAGAGATAACGATTATCACTATGTTATAAATAGAACTTAGCATCAAGATTAAATGGTTAAGAATTTATATTTAGCATCAACAATCTTTTTAGCGACCATGTTTTCGCAGAGAACTTCGTAAACTCTTTTTAGGCTTTTGAAGGACCGTGGATTGATTTAATGACGCCATCGTGTTAAAACATAAACTCAGATTCTTATATTTAGTTTGAGCTTAGATTCACATAAGAATTTGTTTGCTTCCCGCACTTGAAGTGAATATGACACAAGGCCGGGTGAGAACCCCACGTTTGCCTAGAATTTGTAACAAAGATTGTCTAGTTGCCTCAGCAAAGTTCCTTCTGGGACGCCACAGATGTCAGGAATTGATTCTGGCACTCTCCCTTTCACTGTAATAAAAAAAGATGAAACCTTGGGATGAAACTGTAGCCAAATTGCACTTTCGATAACGAAAGACTCGGATGAACGAAGAGATTCCAATGAAGAGATAATTTCCTTTTCAGTGTTCAAGATTCATATTCACCTCATCCGGGCCTTGTAGAATTTTCATTATGATTTTAACAGTAATAAAAAATAAGCATCTTTTAGTTTTCAGCGAGGAAGAATAATTCGTCATATACGTTGACAGATTCATTACTTATTTATTATTATTTAGTGAATTAGATTCTCACTGAGTGCTCTACATTAGTGGCCTTGTGCAAAGACTACGATTTTTTTATATTCATCTGTAAATGGCCACCGAGACGATGGTTAATTCCGAGCCTACATTTTCTATAGCAACCAATAAATTATGAGGATGAGTCAAAACGTAATTCAATTTCTGTCATAGGATGCGCATTTATTAATGAGAATATTCAAAATATGGTACACATGTCAAGGTACATACACTCTTGATCTTTAATTATCTATATTTTTTACTCAGTTTATGAATAAATGAACTGATATGAAAATTGCTCCCATGTTTGAAATCTGTCAAAAAGACCAGTAATCGAGTTCTTTGGACTTTGCTACATCAGCAGACAACTTTGGTTTCGAATCTGGAGATGTTTGTTTATGCAATGATCTGTTTCTCATCTTGAGTTCTTAGGATATGCCATGGTTGGTTTCAAAACTGGATATGTTTCTGTATGCCATGGTTTTGCACGTGGAGATGTTACAGTATGACATGATCTGTTTCGCATTTCGAAATATTGGACTATTGGTTTGCATCTGGAGATGTTTGGCTATGCCATGAGCTGTTTCGAATCTTGAGATGTTTGGCTATGCGATGATCAGTTTCGTTTCTCGAGTTGGGTGGCTATGACATCATCTGTTTCTTATCTTAGATATTAGACTACTCCATGACTGTTTTCCTATCTGGAGATGTTTGGCTATACCATGATTTGTTTCGCATCTTGTGATTGATGATGCGATGATCTCCTTCGCATCTGGTGACGTTATTTCAGGTCATGATTAGTCTCGCATCAGGAGATGTTAGGCTAGGCTATGATTGGTTTCCCACTCGAGATGTTTGGCTATGCTATGTTCTGTTTCATATCTCGAGATATTAGTCTATGACATGGCTGCTTTCGCATCTGGAGATGTTTGGCTATGACATGATTTGTTTCGCATCTGGAGATGTTTGGCTATGCGATAATCTTCTTCATCGGTTTCGCATCTAAAGTCATTTAGCTATGCCATGATCTGTTTCGCGGCTCGGTATATTAGACTATGTCATTAGCGTATTTGCATCGCATCTTGAGATGTTAGGTTATGCCATGAATTTTATATGGAGATTTTTGGTTATACGATGATCTCCTTGGCATCTGGAGACATTATTCTATGAAATGATTGGTCTCTCATCTGGAGATATTAGGCTACGCTATCATTAGTTTCATATCCGGAGATGCTTGGCTATGCTAGGACCTGTTTCGTATCTCGTGATATTAGGCTATGCCGTAGCTGGTTCCAAATCTGGAGATGTTTGGTTATACAATTGTCTGTTTCATCGTGAGATTTTAGGCTATGCTATAATGGGTTTCGTATCTGCAGATGTTAAGCTATGATTGGTATCCCATATGGAGATGTTTGGTTATGCCACGATGATTCAAGTCCAAATTTTGGACTATGCTATTATTAGTTTTGCTTCTCGAAATGTTTGCTATGCCATGATCTGTTTCGCATCTAACACCTTTATCCACTTTGCCATGTGTCCCTGAGATGACAGTTTAGATATTCCAGAAAAGGTTTGGAGCCATGCATAAGTTATTATAATTATCTGTCTATATTTCTAACATGAGGTATTATGTAAATTATTTACATTATTCGGACTATTGTCCACATCTTTGTTGCTATATTTATCACAACGTTTCGGCCGTTGTACGCTCCGGCCTTCTTAAGGTAGTTGGAATGTCGAACTGAACCCTTTATTTTCGCTCGCTGGGGTAGACAGTTCTAGTTCCACGTGCCATGTCTAATGGATGTCAGTTATCAGTTATCTCCTGTTAATTCCTCTCTCCAAGATCTCCACTGCCTTAATCAGGTATTGAACTCACAACTCTTTGGGTCCTGTCACTGGATCTAAACAACGCCTTTATCCATTGTGCCATGTGTCCTTAAGGACCTTTATGAATTTCTAGGAATTATAAACTTAATGTTTTCAGCAACCATTTTACCAGTGCTGATATTGCAATTATACTCCATTATTATAAGTAGTTCTAACTGAATATATTTAAGCTGAGATTCAAATAGCATATTAATCCAATGACTTCAAGCATTACCTTATAATTCTCTTAATATTGACTTGCATAATGCAATCTGACATCATGTGTATAACTCAAACAGTTCTTATCTGTGCTGGGCTGTAGCCATGTTTATATGTACCTTATTTGTTCTCTATCGAAATAGGCTCTTATCTCTTGTTCATTTTTATGTTTATATCTATTTCAATTCCTATCCATATCTGTCTGTTCTTATCTCTCTCTGACAATTCCTATCTACTTGTCATGGTTTACGAGCCGCTGCTGCTAAGTTCTTGCCTCGACCTACTTCCTTAAAAAAAATGACCAAATATAACATTTTCTTTTTTTTAAAATATCTTTGTCAGACTGAGAACTCTTCAGCACGTCCTCACAGGCACGCACACCCACGCACGCACTCATATACATATATATGCACTATATATATATATGCACTATATATATATATATATATATAGTGCATATATGAAATGGACAAAGTCCGACAATTATTTTAAGACATTTTTTATACGTTCGTTTTATAGATACAAATATTTAAGTAATAATAATTTTATAGTAAAAAAATATTAACAACATTTACTGACCTGAATGTCCGAGAAATTTATATAGAAATATGCGTTCCCCGACAGGAATCGAACCTGTATCCTATACCAAACCGTCATATAGCCTGACGTGCTTTTACCGATTGAGCCACAGTTTCGGTTAACAATTTTAAAAACAGTAAAATCGACCTTGAAAAAAACAAAATCAATGAACCCAAACAAATAAAGTAAATAATAAACAAATTGACAAACCATTATGACGAAAATATTAGACTATAAATATCAAATCAAAAATCGGACGAAAAACAGAGCTATAACTGTTATATAACGATTAAAAAACTACGTTACTTAAAAATCTAAAACCGAAAAGAGTAAATAAAAATACACAGTATAATAAATAAATAATAAAAAACAAGTAAAATAAATCAATCTAAATTAAACCAAATAAATAAACAAACTAACAAATCGATCCCGATAAATTAATCCTTAGAAAAAACAAGTAAATGTAATCAATCCAAATAAATAAATGAAGTAATAAACAAATTAAAAACTGCTTCCGCCAAAATAATAGTTAGAATAAACTACAGCACTGAACCCCAAAATTGAATAAATAGCTTTAATTATGTTCCCAAACCTAAACAAATCTATTAAATTAGCGATACAAACAACTTATTACTACATTAATAAAACACCGATTAAAATTAAAATAAATATATAAGATGAGAAATAAAAATAAAAAAGAAAAATAAAAAGTAAAAAAAAAAAAATGCAAGCAAAATAATCTAACCCAAATAAATAAATAAACAAATAAACGACTTCCGACAAAATAACCGCCAAAACAGACAACCAACAATGCATCAGTGACCCGTATATATAGCCGAGAAAAAAAAACAGCACTCGTGGCCTGACAATTGCGTCTAGCGTGAAATAGCCTGTCGCCTGTGTTGACTTCAATGTTCACTTTTATATTTACAAACGCTCTCTCTCTCTGATATTGAGCACTTTATCCCATAAATATTGCACACCTTAAGAGTATATTTCTTCAAATATTTATATATATATACATAGCTAAACACTACAATCAATCAGGACACACATTAGAAAACTGCAAATGTTTATTAATAGATTCCGATTTTACTTCCACATTCACACGCAGAAAAAAAGAAACATATTGGATTTTAAAATTAAATACACATAAATTAGGGTTGAATAGGGACTTAGGTGTTTTAAATCTTTATAAATATTTCAATAGCTAAGCAATTTCTTTAGATATAGTAAAAAATATTTTTTAAATATTTATGACAGTTAGATTTAAGTTAGGAATATCTGAACAGTGACGTTCCATATCACGTGACGTCCGCGTCTCTCGAAGGACGCTACTTGCCAACAAACAGTAATTTTAATTTATTTGTAACAAACAGTTATTTCTGATGAAAAATTGAGGACAATTTGAAATATCAAATATATATATAAATAAATAAATACTTTCATAAAATAAAACATTATAATTTTTAATTTGAAACTTTTTCTATATATATATATATATATATATATATACATACACATATATAATTTATCTAAATTATTTAATTAGATGTCTTAATGAAAACATGCTGCTAAATATACGCAATATATATATATAATATTATATATATGATATATATATTGTATAATATATATATATATATATATTATGTATGTATATAAATATACATATGTATTTTACATATATTTATATATATATTATTTATATATTATATATGAGTGGTACATATTGAAAAGCGCTGAATATCATGGATAGTGCTATGATATTTAGTTGGATTGATGTGAGTTTGTGACCCTGGGTTTCACGCCCTTGCGATCGTCAGACAAAAAGAGTTTATGGAAACCCAGGCTCACAAACTCACCTCAATCCAACTGTATATATATATATATATATATATATATATATATATATATATATATATATATATATATATGTGGGGGTGTATGTGTCTGGTAAAAGTTCTTATATCTTCCCACGCAATCTGATCAAATAGCATTTTTACGAGGAACTTTTTTTTCTTAGAGCAAGATTTTTTCAGCACCTCCCCTCATTTATCACTGCATATCTATAGACGATCCTTACCTCTGCCAATTTTTGACTCCAAATCTGCCAATTACAACCCAATCCTATCTATTTCTGCATATATCTACCGCGATCTGTTTTTATTTATTAGAATTGGTGGCTATCTAAAATCTATGTGCACACCCCAACACCCCCCACACACATATATATATATATATACTCACGTCGATATAAAACATAACCAAATCTCTATATATAATTGGCAGCGAAAAGACTTGCATAAAAAATATTTTCTTGGGTGTATTGGAGGAAGTCGCAGTTGATGCTTTTGCGAATATAATTTTTAATACATATATATATATATATATATATATATATATATATATATATATATATATACACATCTGGGCTACCTTGATAAATTAATTTTTCTTCTTCTATGTACCGTGTCCTTTCAGGTCGTTGACAATCATGTCTCTCCACAATTTCCTGTCCTTTGTAACTCTTAACAAATTGTATCTTTTTGTTATCTCTTCTATATCTTGTTGTGCCATTCATTTACAAAATCTCTCTAGTTAGGTTATGCATTGTTTTCCTCTGTCTCTTGCCTGTCCTGTGAATATTGTATTTTTCAAGGCCCTCTTCCCTCATTACGTACCTGTTGTGGTAAGATCCACCTAATTTGCATAGTGGAGTACCGACCATATAAATATGGTTGGTACCGGGAAGAGAGGGTGGAATCAAGAGATTCAACCAGAGACTCTGCCCGACTGCGACTCAGTCAACACATTCTCCAGGAACGGTCTTACCAGGAATATACAAAAGACTATATGTAAATATTGTGTACACTTTCAATACATTTTGTTCTGAGTACATTTTGTGTTGCATTATTATTCCATGCATTAGTCAAGTTTTAACAGTACCCTAGAAATTTTAACTGCCACTTCATGTTGAGTACTGTTGGCTATAAGTTTGCTTTTTTTTGCCATTTTCTCTAAAACTTGGTCGTTACCTAGAGCATCTTAACCCTTTCAGCTCTGAACAGTTTTTTTTTCCTTCTGCGTGAGCTCCTGATTTGAAATTCGCAAATAATTCAAGCGGTAGGTGTGCATTGTCGTTTTTCTCTACCACTGTTCAACCGATGACTGGACATTACGTCATTTTTTTTTTTTTTGCAAACGTGATTTTTATTATTACAGAAAGTACAAAAGTGTAGAGTTAGTAATTAGTGTTGCTGACTTTGGCTCGAATAATTGCCTCAATTCGATGTGGCATCAAATGGTATAAAATCTCCCATTCTTCTAGTGTAATCACAAAGCTCTTGGAGATTGTACGTTTTTCGTTGGTCCGTTTTCTAAAAACTGAACACCTTTATTATCCACAATAAACCTTTTTCTGTTGCACATGATGTATGGCAAGGAGCTCTGTCATGCTAAAACATGTCTCCATCATCGTAGTCAGGCAGAAGATTAGACCGTTTTACAGTGGTTTTCAAATGCACTGGTGCACCCTGGAAAATGTCTAAGTGCGCCCTGGCATTCCAGAGAAATATGTGTCCAGATATAAGAAATAAAAATATTTACTTTATTATAATGCGGTACCCGTCTCGGTCATATTAACGTGAATTAAGCTTTTCTGCTCTCACCACAATTAAGTGCAAAAAGAGAGGAACTCTTCAATGTATTGAGGAAGCAATGAGAGTTTGTCTTATAAATATACACCCAACATCGAAGAATTAACTAAGACTTATCAGGTTCATGTTTCTCAAAAACACAAGAATGAATAAACTTAAGTTATGTTTCATTTTATATTTTTTTATTGCCTTTTTTAATTTCTACAATATTTGACTTCATTATAACATATTTATCTGAAATTTGTATATAGTGTCCCTACAATTATTGGTAGGATTTCAAGTGTGCTCCGACTTCAAAAAGTTTGAGAACCACTGGACTAAATGATATGTTCCAAAAATCAAAAAAAAAAAATCAATTGAAAAATGATGCAATTGCTCAAGAATAGAAACGCAAAAAATAATAACGACAGTAAATTTATTTAAACAAAAATATTAAATTCTACAATTTTCTTCAACACACACACACACACACACACACGCACACACACACACACACACACACACACATATATATATATATATATATATATATATATATATATATATATATTTTCATTTTGCTCCAAGCAAGGAAATAAAGCCACTAAGACGTAAAGGGTTACTGAGTGTGAGGTGTGAGAGAATATGAGAGAAAAATCAACATTAAGGAGAGAGAACAATAACAAAAGAACAAGAATTAAGAAGACAGAAATTAACGATTGATATCTCACGAAAATATTTGATGATCAAAGTTGACTGGAAAGCAAGAAGCCGTAATAGAGTTCCACAAGCAAGAAGTGCGAGAGAATAAACTGTTAACATAGAACTTACTTATATCTGCGCATATAACGAAACATATAACGAAATTTGTATATAGTCCGCCTACAATTATTGCTAGTATTTTAAGTGCGCCCCAGCTTCACAAAGTTTGAGAACCATTGCCGTAGTTAAATTCAAACAGTTTTGAATGTTTCGTTTTCCATCAACTTACATTAGAATTGTTGCAGTTTTTTGTGTATATATATCTTCTAGTGAGCTAGCCCAAATGACTTGAATCACTTTATAGTCCACTAATAGAAGGTTAACCAATCAGAAGACGTAGAATATTCAATCCGTCGTGTATAAAAGCGGCCATTTTGTTTACTCTATCCGAATGTCCAGTACCAGCTTGTCAGGCGATGAGTAACAGAAGGAAGAACTACGCTCTGCTACTTTTACCGGAATATCCACTGCTATCCTGAACTACGCTTCCCTACTGTCTTCGAAATATTCACTACTAACCTCTGGATTCTATACTCAAGGACGACCGTCATCATGAACAACAAGAATCTCTTGCATTAGAATGGAACTTCTTTTTCTTATTCATCACTAAAAATGTATTTATACCCTGTCAGATGTTTTTTGACCACATCAGATGTTTCTTGGTTAATGATGTTTTTTTTTGTTTTTTACTGCTATACGACCGTTCAAATTGTTTTTTCGTAATACTCTGCAATGTGCATAAACTAAAAACGAAATATTTAGACTGCATTCACTCCTCGCTTCCCGAGTGTTAATTTTCGATTGCCTACCGACATTCTTGTAATCTTTCTTCCATCTTTCTTGTCTAATGTTTGTAGACTTCCGGTTTTCTGTGCCCTTAAAACACTTCTAGTCGAAGTCTTTTGGGTGATTTGAACTGGAAATTCCCAACCGCTTGGCGATTTTTTATGAAGATATCTTCCCCCTTAAAATTCACAACATTCCTCTTTTTTCAGTAGAAATTTTAGACATGATTTCAGTGTAAAAAAAAAAAAAAGCATGTTAATGTTCAACAAGAATAACTTGCTAAGTCATGTTAATAAGATGAAACAAATAATTACTTAGAAATTTACATATTATCATGACTTTATTTCCAATCTTTTACTGGTCCAGTAGTTTTGCGTGGCCTTTTTCAGCTTTAAGCTGCTAAAAGCGGTCAAGCTTCTACGAAAATACAATTTATTTTCCAATTTTTAAGCTCCCCAGACACTACAGATAAAAGCATACCGCGAAAAAAATCTTAGCCTCTTAATAAAATAACGGTGTGTAATCATTTTGCGTATTTAGTTCCAAAACGTTTACAACTCAGTGTAGACACTCTCCCACAGCAGAGCCGCAATAGAGAAATAGGGGGGAGTGTAGCCGTAGTCACCATGGTTGGTCTGTTTCGGATTGGTGAGGCTATTTAAGCCATAGTTGGAGGTTTTGAATTCAAAGCTGTCCTTCTCGTAGACTGGTTCCCAACCAAGGCGCAAGGACCCAGTCTGTCCTGCTGTTCATCCATAGCCGGGGGTGGAAGGGGTAAATGTCTTCATACTTTTCTCAAGTGTATTTTTCTTGTAAGTAAATGTAATGAATATATAAGTGAACATTGAAGTCAACACTTAGAGGCGACAGTTGTTCCATGCTAGATACAATCGCCAGGCCATGGGTGCTGTTATTTTTCTCGGCTATTTATATATACGGGTCAGTGGTGCATTGTGGGTAGTCTATTTTGTCGGTTATTTTTCCGGAAGTCGTTTATTTGTTTATTTATTTGGTTTAAGTTATTTTGCTTGTTTTTTATTTATTTTATTTTTTATTTTTATTTCTTATCTTATATATTTATTCTTTATATATATATATATATATATATATATATATATATATATATATATATATATATATATTTGTATAAATACAGTGGAACCTCGGTTCTTGAATTTAATAGAAACTGAATATTCAGATAAAAACAATAAAATTAACATTTTCTATAAAAAAATCTTATACACGTTAATTACAAACAGGATGATTTTTCCCTTAAAAACATTTTAAAGAAATACACAACCCAAGTCGATCAGATGAAGATAATTAAATGAATTATCTACTATAAAAACAGCGAACCTTATCATCAACTTCAAATACCCACCTGCAAGAGCCAAATTACAGAGAATCAATGTCACTTACGAATTTACATGTTCCCGAAGGAAGTGCGTTCCTGGTCACATCAAATTCATGAATAATTATATAGGACATACCACTACATGCCTATCAAGAAGACTCACGTTACATCTCTCTGACCATATCTCAAGTAAGACTCATTTAAACACACACGAAAACCTACCAAATTTTATCCGCAACTTACTCGTAGAAAATACAACTCTAATAGCCTCATCCATATATGAAAAGGGGTTTAAAATAACAGACATTTTTTATTTTAATAATAAAAAAGAAAAAGCCAACACTCAGTAATTTCAACAATGAACACGGCCACAATGTGCTGACCGTGTTTGTAAAATACAAATAAAAACATTGCCATCGCTATAGATACACATATATAAAAATCTACATATTCATTTAAATATTAAAAAAAAAAACATCCCCTTAGTCTCTTACAAACAGGATGAATTCCTACAAAGGAAAACAACCTCGTTATTTTTTTTATTTTTTTATTTTTATTTATTTTTATTTATTTTTATTTTATTTTTTTGTGTTTTGCCGATAATATGATCGACCGTCCTGTGTATGACGATAAACTACACACGCGTCCTGGGTAAGACGATAAACTACAACAGCAACACCTCTGATCAGGAAATAGCAGCCTATTTTCTTTTGGGTTGGTTAAAGGAGCAAGTCTACGATAGCAAACCAAGACTTTTGAAGAACTTGAAGCGCGAATGCAAGAAGTTATGTCTTCCGTACCACAAGAGTTCCTGGTGAAAACATCTGATGCGATTCCTGGCCATTTCGTAGCAAAATCGAATTTTAAATAAAACCTCATTCTAAACACACTTTCCTCTCATATCCCTTTCTTGTAAAAAATTATAGTTAATAAATAAATTATAAGTATTTTAAAATGGGGAGTTACTTTTCAATCACCCTGTAGATATAACAGTCTGCGTGACTGACTGTTTCTGTGTGTGTCCGTGTGCGTGTGACGTGAAAAGAAAACTACAGTGTAAACATATATTTAAACGGTTTATATATATATATATATATATATATATATATATATATATATATATATATATGGTTTTATTTCTACAGTTTCTTGTACAATTTCTCTTTCTTCTTCTTTTCCTTTTTCTTTCATTTTTTCTTTCTTTTTCTTTCTTTCTTTTTTCTTTTCGTTTTTTTGTTTGTTTACTTTTTCTAGAAAGGAATACGCACTCGGTATTTTTTTTTTTTTTTTTTTTTTTGCGTTTTGCGTTTTGCCGAGAATATGATCGACTGTCCTGGGTATGACGATAAACTACGTCGTCCAACAGCAACACCTCTGATCAGGAGGTTTCGAGGAACGTGGAACCACCTCTTAATTGCTGGGGTTCCCAGGTCCACCTTGACCCGGGGTGGTAGCACCCGTTATATGCATAGATAAATATCCAAGAGGATAGAATCCAGGTAGAACTCAATGTCCAAGACAGAGCAAGAATAAAATATAAAAGGCTCAAATACTAATATTCCATGGTTATAATTTATTACTTTGGAATCCTAATCACGATCCAATTCTTCAAACCTACAAATTTAAAAAAAATCAGAATATATATATATATATATATATATATATATATATAAATAAATATGTGGTGCAGTTTAAAATTTAGTTAGTGAAGTGAATTCGCCATTTTATATCATTAACTTTACTAATTTACTTTTTGTATGAAAGATTCATTGTAATATAAATTAAACTGCACCACATATATGATTTAAAATAACTGATCCATTTCAGGAAAACAACTGAGACATTGCCGTACTTATTGAACACTTTAGTTCATGCCACGTTGACTGATAAACTCCTACAACAAAAAACTTCTTAAATTGACATATTATTAAAAAAACGCTCTCACTTAAATTTTCAAAAATTCAACCTTAGCGTTGCGACTATACTCTCCACAAGTTTTTATCTGTTATCAATAACACACTTGAAAAAACATATTTTGATTTACATTATATATTTTCGTCTCGGCTGATACTCGAATTTTATCCAAAAGACAATAGTTTCTATGCCTGATGATGACCGGAGAACCTGTTGAAAGTACTTGCATATTTAAAGAAGACCTAATACACTTTATAATTTAAAAAAAAAAACAAGGATCATAACATTCATCGAGTGGTTAGTGGGTTAATGCATTTTTAAAATTTTGTTAGCGAAGTGAATTCGCCATTTTATCGCATTAACTTTACTAATTTAATTTTTGTATGAATGATTCATTGTAATATATATATATATATATATATATATATATATATACATATATATATATATATGTGTGTGTGTGTGTGTTCTAGAACTTGGACAGCTGTGGTTATTTCCTGTAACCCTTTCTAACCACAGATTGAAAGAGAGAGAGAGAGAGAAAGAATGGTTTGTAAATAGATCTCTTGTCACACCCAAAATATTTTAGCTGGATTGATTACCTGTCAAGCAATAAAGAGATCAATGTTATCACCACAGTATCTCTTGTTTTGTTGTCAACTGTATCCATGAGGTTTTGTTGCGTCAAGGGGCAAGAACGTGAAATGCGATTAGCAACTTTTTCAAAAATATTTTCCTTGTTTGTCTGTGCTACCGAATAAAATAGAAAGTAGAAACACCTGAAAGAAGATACCTAGGTTGTCCTAATATATAATCTATCAAGAAAAAAAAAACACTTGAAATATTTGAAACTATCGTATGGAAATTTTCGCAGTTGCAACTGAAGTGATAAAAGCATTCTTTCTTTCTTCTTTGTGCTGTGCCTCTTCAGGAAGTAGGTGATCATGGCTCTCCACAATTTCCTGTCCTTTGTAACTCTCAGTTGTCTTTTTTGTTATTTCTTTTACGCAAAGTTGATAATAACACTGACTTCTCATTTTGACAGATACATTGTCCAAAATTACACAAAAAGTATCTTGAACTACTAAAGAGTTAATTTATTCAATAAAATCGCCGCTGCCTTCAACCACGCCGTCCAGACGACTTCGGAATCTCCTGCAATTCTTCTGGGAGGTCTCCTTGTGTTGTGCAGCCACCTCATTCTGGGGGTCTCTTTGTTACTGCGTCAATTAATACAATATTGTATAGCCCCTTTTTTTGGAGTTCTCCTCTCTGCCAATCATTTACACAAGCTCACTAAATATGTTATGCATTGTTTTTCTCTGTCCCTCTTGACTTCAATCTCTCCTGTAAGTATCAGATTTTCCAAGCCGTCTTTCCTCATTATATGCTCTAAAAGTTTCAGCTCACCCTTTCTGATGTTAAGTATAAGCATCCTCTTCGTTTCTATTTTCTTTAAAACTTTGACGTTGCTCATATATTTGGTCCATGGTATTCGTATCATCCTTCTGTAGGACAAAAGTTCTGTTGCCTCAAGTCTCTTTTTTATTTATTAAGGTTTTCCATTATTCACTGCCATATAGGACTACCAATATTACGTAACAGTTCACTATTGTTTTCTTTGTTTCTAACGAAATTTTCCTGTTTCTTGATCCGACATTTTCTTCTTTCTTAATAATTTACTTAGCTTTTGGGAGGCATCTTTCGTTGTCCCAGTGCGTTTCCGATAATACTTTTACCAGTCTCTGTTAAAACTTTTTTCTATATATTTACATTTTGGTGCTTGCTGGATGTTGGTATCCCCAATTTGTAATTTACAACTTGGGATGTCCCTTTTGTCGACAACCATACATTCTACTTTCTTACAATTGGTTTTAAGTGCTTTCTTCTCGTTTTTCTTTACTACCTTCTGTAGGAGTGATTGTAGTTCACATTCCGTGTCTGCTATCAACACTAAGTCATCTACATATATTATTAGAATTGTGACCGCGAATAATGAAGGGTTTATATATATATATATATATACAGATAGTGTTCTAATAAATGAATTCATATTGGAAAGTCTTTCCCTCAGAATATATATATATATATATATATATATATATATATATATATATATATATTTAAAGATATTTTTGTAGGTACACCATATTAATTCAATTGTTTACAAATACGTTTGTAGTTGCGGAGCCAACTACATAGGGAGAACAACTCAGCGCTTAGACATGAGAATAAAGCAGCACGTTCCTACTAAAATTAGAAACCACACCCTGCCTTTGAATGGACTCGTCCCGAACACCTACAGTTCCGCCATATGCGAACATCTTTTAAATAGCAGAGATTGTGCTGCCAAATTTAATGTCGACTGGTTCACCGTGTTGGCCCGGTCACACTCTGTATTTCATCTGAAGGTTCTGGAGGCGCTTTACATCGGGTCCCGCAAGCCTTCTTTGTGCAAACAACGTGAGTATTTGCTGGGACTCACTGTCATCTGCCTCTAGTTCCTTCTTGCATATATATATATATATATATATATATATATATATATATATATATTTTTTCACCTATTCTTATTGTACATTTCTCTGTTTTAATTTTGAATCTCCGTGGAAGCCTGAAGAGTGGGGCGAAACCGGTTGCTTCCACCCCCCCCTTGTTGTTGTGTTTTTTTTTATTATTTAATATTGTTTTAATATGTCTTGTAATATTAAATTTTATACTTTTATTTCGATATATATATATATATATATATATATATATATATATATATATACGGGGTGCAATGGGTAAATTATCGCCATTTTATATTTTTAATTTCACTCGTGCATGGTGTTTGTTTTTTTTTTTATTTTGTCGAATTCACAGTATAGTAGAATCAGTTGGACATCGTCTGTGAGAGAAAGAGCACCACGACGCGATTTACTCCGCCAGAAATTTGGAAACGGTATGCTGTACTGCTTGGCATTCGCACCGGAAGCTCCGATATGAAAATTTTAGAGTGTTTGAGTGTCAATACAAGGACAGTGCATAGGATTCGGAAAGAGTTGTATGATATATGCAGTCAACATCATAGTGTTTGAAGTGATCACTAGTGATGGCGATGCCTCCACGCCTCAGACTCAACACGGAAACTTACATCAAGTGCCTTGACGAGCTAGTGCTGTCCTGGGTCAATAGGGTGGCTGCTGCAAGACCCTAAGTCTGGCAACAGGACTCTGCACTATGCCACACAATCATGAGGAGCTAGTCGTGGCTGTCAGACAATTTCTGCGATCACATCACCCATTACATCCGGCCCCCTAACTCTCCAGACTGCAACCCTCTTGGTTATTATATGTGGGGCGCAAGTGAGCGAGAGACCAACAAAACTCCTTGTAACATCAAAGATGAACTGAAAGTAATGATTATGGCAGCATTCACCAGCTTAAACAAGTGTTAAATAATAGTTTCAGGCTATTATTTTTAGCGGCAGTTTATTTTGGCTCAGACCATCTGAGACTGACCTTTGAGGTCAGATGGTAGACAAAATAGGGATGTCAATTTTGATTGGCTGAGTCGAACGAGGAAATGATTAATGTTTTTCGGGTGTTGTTTGGACGTCAAACTAAGTAGACCTGTTAGATTGCGTTTGTGCAAACCCCCTCACACCACTGGGGAATGGTCTTTCGAGAGTTGTTTGTTACACGTCAAAACGCCCACTCGATAGATGTAAGCGTCGACATGGTTAATAAGCTAGTAAGATTTAAAAACCGGCGTTCTCTTTTATCTCCGAACAAAACAACTAGTGTAGTGTGTAGTGATGCGGCATTCACCCTGGGCGGATTGAGCCGGCTTCTTCCTGTTATGAGAAGAAGATTCTTGGGATAAATTACAGAAGTAGGGTACCCAGGCCTACTCGGATAACGTTCTTGCTTGCCGCGGGGTTCCCACAGACGCAGAGACAGGAACGACCAGAAGCCGCCGGTTACCGATGCAGACGCTCCTTGGATTTTCACCAGAGCCCTTATTAGCCGGCGTGTGTGTCAGACCTGTCCGCCTTGGGTGGCCCTACCAGGAACGAAGTTCCGGGCGGCATAGCTCTGACACTACCGTTTACACCCCACCACCGACTGTGAGGTAAGGGTTGGACTTTGGAGGCTTACAGTACCAGGTGTTCCCAAGCGGTCCCCCATCTAAGTACTGACCTGGCTCTACAATGCTTAACTTCGGTGATCGAACGAGAACCGGTGTTTTCAGCGTGATTTGACCGTAAGCTGAACAAAACAACTGGCGGTCAACGGTCGAGAAAGAAAGCAACGGTACCAGTGAATCAAGTCTGTCGCCTCAAGAGAACCCCAGAAGAAGAGGCTATACAACATTGTATTAATTGGCGCAGTGAACAAGAGGCATCCCAGAATGAGGGGGCTATACAACACATGGAGAATTGCAGGAGATTCCGAAGTCGTCTGGAGGGCGTGGTTTGAGCTAATGGCGATTTTATTCAATAAATTAACTCTTTAGTATTTCAAGATATTTTTTGTGAAATTTTGGTAAATGTATCTGTCAAAATCAGATGTCAGTGTTATTTTCATCTTTATGTAAATTAGACGGCAATTTATCAATTGCACCCTGTATATATGCCTTTATGCGTGTATGTTTCCATGTGTCTACCTCTCATGGTCGCTCCTTGTCGTAGTGGAGGGACTTGCACGATCCATTTACTTTGAGAACTTTGCAGTCGGCAGTTCGAAACTCCTGAAAAGGGCCACCCTTGGTAGCAAGCTCGAAACCTTGTACCAAGGCTAAGCGCGACCAACACCAAACACATAATTAAAACGTTCCGCCTATGAGACCCGGTTTCGAATCTAACTATGGAAGATTTGTCTGGAAGCTGACTTCTCGACGTTCACGGCCTGGAGAATCAATCCCAGTGTGCATCGCTGAAAACCATACCCATCTGGTTGACTTGGGAATGGATGATAGGAGTTACGCATATGTGAGGGTGTATATAGATTCCTGTCCGCTCTCCATTTTTCTCACCCGCTCTCTTTCTCTCTCATTTCGCTTTTTTCATTCTTTTTCTCTCTCACCCTTCTCTTCTTTTTTACTCTCTCTCTCTCTCTCTCTCTCTCTCTCTCTCTCTCTATCTATCTATCTATCTATCTCCTTCACTCTCTTTCTGTGCGTGTGTGAGCGTGAGTTTGTGTGGATTCCCCTTCGCTCTCTATTTTTCTCACCCTCTCTCTTTCTCTCTCACTTCAATATTTTTTCTTTCATTCTTTTTCTCTCTTACTTTCCCTCCCTTCTCTTCACTCTTACTCTCTCTCTCTCTCTCTTTTCCTCTCGCTCTTTCACTCTCTTTCTTTGTTTGTGTGTGTATGTGTGTGTGTGTGTGTGATTTCGTGTGAATTCCCCTTCGTTCTCTATTTTTCTCACCCTCAATGATTAAACGAATCAATCAAACTTTCTCTCTCTTACTTTCTATTCCTTCTCTTCTCTTTCTCTCTCTCTTTCTCTCTCTCTCTCTATCTCTCTCTTTCCTGTCATTCTTTGTCTCTTTCATTATCTTTTACTATCTCTATCTTTTACTCTTTTTCGTTATCTATCTTTCTCTCTTTCTTATGCTCCCTCTCTCTCTCCCCCCCTCTCTCTCTCTCTCTCTCTCTTTCCTCTCTCTTTATTCCTCAATTTTCTCTGCCTGTCTTTCGTTCTATCTTTCTCTCTGCTCTCTGTCACATTAATAATTATGTACACCTGAGTGTTAATAGACGCACACCAGTCGCTCCGAGTATTGACTCAATGCAAGCAAAAGGGAAAAGTTCAGCGAGTGCATCAGAATGTAGTCACAGAAAAAAAAACGTATCGACTAACAGCCAACGTAAATATTTGCTTCCAAAAGGACATATTTTTAAATTATCATTTTACCATATACATGCGTACAAGTCGTGTTGTTAAAACTAAACTTTAAATTTGACTATTTGTTTAGTTGGTGTTACATTCCACCCTCGTTTTTATTTAATTAGATAATTTTAGAATTCCATTGCTTTAGATAAGTAATAGTCAATATACTTAAATGAATTATTATCTCTATTTTGGTTGTTATAGATATTGCTATAGACACAACATTTCGTTCAGTGGCCACTATTTTGGTTGATATAGGATAGATGTTGATTATTGCGTGTTTTTTTTTCCCTGATGTTGGTTATTATTCGCTCTTACCTGATCCAAGTGATTGACAGTATAGTATGTATAGCTAGCCACTCGTATTCGAGGACATCCATCTACTAGGGCGGCTAGCCGATCCCTATTGCAGACGCCTGCTCTGTGGTTTATACTGTAATCACGCTAGATAACACGCTCTTCCCCAGTTTCTGTTATCTAGCGTGATCAACAATTTGAACAAGGCCAGCACGCTCAAAACCTCAGCCACGATGACTTCGTGCTAGCACAGCTATCGACGGCCCCCAAGAATTCCGTCTACCCAATTTCAGTCACAAAGCTTGGGTCAACCAGTGGTATGGTTTTCAGGCACTTTCCAAAGGTACGATAACATATCCTTCCTGACAAATTGACCAGTGTGAGAATGGAATCTCATGGTCAGAAAGCGAGCATTCTAACCACTCGGCCACGTGCTTATGTTGTTGACTGTCGCACATGTCTAATGAACTCCTATTTGGAGACTTTATATTTAATGGTATATTTATTAGTGCTTCTTTGGTCTTTCAATATCAAAATCTGTCTTTATTTGTATCCATAAGTAAACTATGTCTAAAATATACTTTGACTTTATTCTTCGCATCCTTGTCGTTATGGTTACTATTATAGACACGACGTCTCGATCAAATACACTTTGAACACTATCAGGTATCCATTATTTTGGCTGATATAGAATATCTTATACATATGTTGATTATTGTTTTATTTTTGCCCCTCTAATCCTCTGCCCTTCTTCGAGTCTACGGTATTCTACCCCTACCAAGAATAGTTAACCTCTCATCGTGAATGCTGGTAATTTTATATTCAACCAATGACACGCCTTATTTTGTCTACCATCTGACCTCAAAGGTCAGCCTCAGAAGGTCTGAACCGAAATACAATGCCACTAAAAATAATAGTCTGAAACTATTTTTTAACACTTATTTAAGTTGTTGAATGCTGACATAATCCTTGCCTTCAGTTCATCTTTGGTATTATAGGAAGTTTTGTTGGTCCCTCGATCACCTTTGCACAACACATAATAATCAAGAGGGTTGTAGTCTGGTGAGTTAGGGAGCCAGACGCAACTTAACACCTGTGATGTCGCTACTGGTTCGTTCTAGCTAAACTAGAGTGTATTAGTAAACTACCTTTTTTTAATGGAGTTCATCCCAAGCAATGCAGTAAAGCCACCGAGGCCAAGAGGTTGCTGGGTGTCGAAGAATTAGATACAGGAATACTGCTAAGGCCCGAGAGCAAAAGAAGAGTAAAAAAAAAGAGGACAGCGAGTAGCGATTGATATTGCATTTAAATTGTTGTAGATTAAAGTTGGCCTGAAAAACATGGAACCGAAAGTTCCATAAGCGAGAAGTGCGAGAAAATAAATTGTTGGCATAGAATTTTTGATTACATCTAGCCAACTCAACTGTGAGACATTGTTGCCAGTCTAGCACTGCGCATAAATTTGAAGGCACCATAGCAAAGAGGTCATCTGAAGAATTACCATGAAAGTATTTATAGAAAAGACAAAGGAGGCAACCTTACGGCGGTGAGAAAGTGACTGAAGCTAAGACGCCAGATCCTGGGACTGAACACCTGACCTCTCCATGAACTCAATACTTAACTAAACAATGCTTATATCCACTACGTCATAGTACAAATGGGCATTAGTCGATCAGTGTTGTATAACGAAGCTGAAAACA